TCAAGGTTGCAGATAAAGCAGGGACAAAGCTGTTACTAAGACCTATCACACAAGTCGTGACACTGCTTCCTGCTGAGTAATGAAGGACTGTTGATGTTTTGTTAAGTTGTGTTGAGCTAAGATAGTGGTATATTAAGATACCAGGAGGGGAGTGTGCAGTCAGTGTATGTATGGAGTGGATTCTTCAAGAGACTTTTACTTTGACGATGATGTCATCGGCTTTGTATCACAGTTCAGGAAGTATACTAGCAGAAAATGAGGGAAGAGCCTCATGGTGTTCCATGAATCATAATCCTTGTTCATCTGTTACATTTTTTGCCTTGAGGATGCACTGCTGGTATGTTAGTTTGTCAACATAAATCTTAATTCATATTTTGTTTGTATTAGCAACATTAGATGGTATTTCATGCACTGTTAATGGCATGTTCCAGCTCTTAGTGTATCAGGATGTATGCAGTAATCCATTGTCTCCAGTTAAAATTCATGTTTATTTAAACAACAGAAGGCATAAAATAGCATGGCAGTGGGTTAGTTTCATTGTATAGCAATTTGTGTTCTCACGTTAGTACTCATACCCTGGTGATGTATTTTTTTGTAGTTTTACCCTACGTCCAGTCAACCATTAAAAGAGACGAACTGGGCTTCCTCTTCAGCGTGGTGATTGGGAGAGGAGTTGTCTATCTGCTGACTTATGCAGGGCGTATAAGGGTGGCAGAATAGCTGGCGTGCAGACTGTAGGTTACATAGCAACACAGACAGTCTCGCCTAGCTAAAGAAAAGGCAAAGAGAAAGATTTAAGACGAACATTTGGAGATGAATGGACTTATTTGCATTTATAAGCAGCGCAGTTGGTTTCCTGGAACGTTAGATCTGCAAGGAGAAACTGACAAACACAAAGTTGCAAAGCTGAAGCTTCTGTTTTGAATCTTCCTGGTCCACCTTAAATGGTGCCGCATTTACATTCTGGTGCCTCGGCAGAATTTAAGGTGGAACGGGAAAATTCGAACAAGAAGCTGGCAAATGAGAAGCTGACGTCAGCCTTGTAAAACAGTCAAACTTTGAGAGACATTTTACAAGAAACTGATCTACTTTTGAGGAAAACTTTCCTATCGGAAATGGGAGGAAAGCGGCTAAAGCTTAAAGCAGAGCAAAGTAAATCTGCGTTTTCGTTTTTAGCCTAGCTTTAGCCCAAGGTGGTCTGATTTTTGTTGAAAGGACAAAATGGCTCTTTTTAACATTTGGGTTGTCGACTCCTGACCTAATCTAGCTTTTAATGCAGAGGGTGCTGGTCGGATTTCTCGCTCATCCAGTTGTGTTTTTCTGTCAACGTTATCAATTAAAATTTAGAAAATAGATTTTTTCCCCCACCCCTAATACACACACACACACACACACATATATATATATATATATATATATATGGTAAGTATACTCAAATACTATAATACCATGTACTGGGATATGTAGATGAAGTATAATTGAGAACAGCTACAACTACACTGACAACCTGACATGCATTGTTTTAATTAGTCTTAATCAATTAAGAACAAAATACAATTTTGATTTGTTATGTAAAATGTTATTCTTATAGTTTTATTTACTTTTTGTCACTGTATGAAAGCATTTGTTAAATATGTAAATGCAAGGACAATTTTTGAATGTTGAATTGTCTACTATATAAAAAATATTGAAGCAAGCTTCTTCAGATAGAACAAAAACAATTTCTTTCGTATGAATAATTTGCAGTCAAAAGTAATAAAGCACAAGATATTGCAACATGTCATATTGCAATACTTAGTATATCACAATTCTTTAAAGCAGCACTATGTAGGATTTAGGGATTTGAACCTCTCTGGTGGAAATATGTAATTGCACACAATGTGCAGAATAAGATTTTATAATGTCGGTTGTGCTTCGGACCCCCAGAAGCGGATGAATCAGATTTTGAAAGAGTATGTAAAGAAACTTGGTGAAGGGCGTGTCTTCCGAGGCTGTAAGTGAATGATCTACTATTGTCAACATATCTTTGTTGATTTTGCATTTGAGACCTAAACATCAAGCTAGATCTTCTTTTTGAGCCTGTACAGACATATGACATGGTCCAAAAAACTCCAACAAAATCCATCCTGGTACCTCTGACTTTTAAATGATTTCAGGCTTTACAGGATGGCTCGCAGAAGCACACACACTCCATATTTTACTGTGTTCTTTTTTCCTCCATACTCAGTAATGATACTTCTTTTAGTTTTATTTAAGCAATAGAACACGAGAGGGAGTGTGTTATCGCTAATTATCATCATAGCCGTGATGTTATCGCTAATTATCATCACAGCCGTGATGTTATTTGCGATAACACACAAACTCGAGTGTTCTATTGCTTTTATACAACAGTTAAATAAATAAAGTAAGAAATAAATAAATTGGGCCATTAGTGTGGCATTTAATGTTAGCAATTCCTTCTGCCAAATTATAGTTCCTTAACAAGTAGCTTGTTGCTACGTCAGAGTAATGAACTCCGCTCACTCGCTGCACAGTATGCTGTATATTAAGCATCGCCTTTTGAAGTACTGACTGAGCCATAAAACTGCCACAGTATCAAGTTTAACTCAGTGTTGTCAATTTTTGCTAGATCAGTATTAATGTTGTTTTGTTCCATCCAGTCTGTAAAGCATCTTACAGCCCATTTTGTTTGGCGAATGGTATTGGGTTAATTTCTGGCTATTTCCATGTTGTTTAGGTGTTCTTCTGTCACAGCTGCTGACTGAAAAGCTTGCTCAGTGGTAACGACAGTTTGGGAACTGAACCAATCAGCTTGCATGGCCGGAACTAACTGTTGTATAACAAAAAATAATATATAGTGCTGCATTAAATATCGCTTATTGTGAGTCTGGTATTGTGATGATATCATAGCGGGTGGCCTGCAGACCTGCTTGTGACAGGCCTAGCTTCTGGCATAACAGTATAGCCACCTTGAATACACTTTGGGGTTCTTCATACCTAGAGGAACTTGGTATGCCTGGGACTACGGATTTTAACACTTAACTGATTAACTGTTAACCAACAAAAACAAACAAAAAACAATTGTATTGTTCTCTTGAGGACACGAGAGCACAACTTGTTCCAGTAGCCCTACTTAGTAATACACAACTCTGGGTTTTCTAGAGTCGGTTGACTCCTGTTGACTCCACTTAATTTGACCAGGTAGCGCCAGGAGCCGGCAATAAAGGGATATAGCAGAGATTAAACCATCCTAAATGTACTTTACAGCACTATCACACTGTCGCTAGACATGCTGCAGTAGTTGGTTGAGATTGTGTTGTCATGCACACAGCGCATGAGTGTTTGGTTGCTGTGGGTCTGTGTTGATGAGTTTAATTCCCCCACTTATAACTTGATAAGACAATGTTTTGTTAATGTGGGCCAAGGATATTCAGCTAAAACTTGTGAACATCGAGTTACATCAGATTTCTTGCTTAGAAAGGTCCAGATAAACAAACGAACATGTGAATGGTGATAATGGTTACATTAGTAGTTAGTCCAGCCAGTTAATATAAAAAGGTACATCAGACAACAAATCAAATGTTTAAACTGAGAAATTTTATTGTTTTTTGCAAAATATATGCCCGATTTGAATTTCATGCCAACAACACGTTCCAAAAAAGTTGGGACGGGGGCATGTTTACCACTGTGTTTCATCACTTCTTCTTTTAACAACACTCTGTAAGTGTTTGGGAACTGAGGAGACCAACTGCTGTAGTTTTAAAAGTAAAATGTTATCCCATTTGTGCTTAATATAGGATTTCAGCTGCTCAACAGTTCAGGGTGTACTTTGTCGTTTTTTTCATTTTATAGTGTGCCAGATTTTTTTGGTGGTGACAGGTCTGGACTGCAGGCAGGTCAGTTTAGCACCTGGACTCTTAATACAGAGCCATGGTGTTGTAATACATGCAGAATGTGGTTTGACATTGTCTTGCTGAAATAAGCAAGGCCTTCCTTGAAAAAGATGGATGGCAGCATATGTTGCCAAAACATGTATATATTGTTAAGGATTAATGGTGCCTTCACAGATGGCACGTCACCCATGTCATGTGCACTAATGCACCCCTGTACCATCATGAATACTGGCTTTTGAACTGTGCACTGACAACAAGCTGAGTGGTCTTTAGCCCAGAGGACATAGTGTCCATAATTTCCAGAAATAATTTCAAATGTTGATTTGAAATTCTTTCTGGAATTGATTTGACACTTTTCCACTTTCCCTCAATCCATTGTAAATAAGCCTGGGCCCAGAGAAGGTGGCAGGAGTATTCTAACCAAAATATCTTTCTAAATCTCTGTTGATATCTCTATGTCAAGTTCCTCCCCCCCACTGTTGTTTCAATAAAGTTAGAGGCTACAAATTGTATGAATTAAGCAGAGAGTACACCACAACAATGCATTTCTTAGACTGTGGACTGGTTTTCAGTATGATATCTAAAGCCACCAGGTGTTTTTTAAGCATTACACAACTTTACCAGCCTTTTGTTGCCCCCGTCCCAACTTTTTTGGAACGTGTTGCTGGCATCAAATTCAAAATTTATATATATTTAAAAAAAAAAAAAACAATAACATTTTTCACATTTTTCTCAGTTTCAACATTTGATATGTTGTCTTTGTACTATTTTCAATGAAATATTTACATTTTTCACAGCGTCCCAACTTTTTTGGAAATGGGGTTGTAATTAAAAATGAAATAAAATTCAAACAAAAAATGTATAAAGGCTTTTCTTAATGAGGATTTCATGCTCTTGCACTGTCAGGGAATAAACACTCTGGTAGATCTTTCATGTTGAGCTTTGGGTTTATTTTGTTCATCCTCAGAACTGGATTTTGTTGGTAGTTTAACTCTGATGGATCGTTTTGTTTCACAGTGGCACTTGATACAAACTCTGAATGGATATTTCAGCTCTGGTAAGAAGACCATAGATAATTAATCAGTATATTCATCATTGTTTTGTCAGTGGAAAGAAATGTAAATGGGACTCTTCTAGAAGAAGCTGTATGTGAGGCCTGCAGTGGAACAGTGCCTGCTTTATCTGCCCCGGATGCCAAAGGCAGCAGGTAAGCCTTCCTTCTCTAGGCTTTACTGACTTCTCTACTATTATATTCAACTGAGTGAAGCTTTATCGCTCTCACATCAAAACATGGTATTTCCAATTTTTGGGTTCTAAAAGAAATGTAGGCAATGCAATAAACCATTAATAGTACCCATTTTTCAACTCTAATTAGTAAAATTAAAATGTGTTTTAAATGTATTTCTTTCCCTGTCAACAGCCATATCCATCATGTTACTAGGGTTTAAAAATCTTTGTAAAATGGCGTCATTTCTGGCAAAAAACTGTAATCACATAAATTTTGCTTTATCAAATATAAAGAAAGCACTTAAAGAAACGGCCAACTGCTAGGTTAATTAAAAAGTGAGCATAATTAGTAGTTTTTAAGTAGATTTAGAATGGCATGATGTGTAAAAATAATTTATATTTATATAAATATATTATAGATGTGGCACCACTGGTTGTGTAACGTAGGAGGCGTTAAGGCAGGATGCAAGTGTGAGTTGCTTTTATTTAAATGATATTTAACAAAAACACAGTGGCAGAGGTTAGTGGAACAGATAAATCCATGACGAGATAAAACAGAACTAAACCAAAACCTACAATCCAAGAAACAGGCAACAGCAAGGTGTATAGACAATGCAAGACAAAAGGACTGCGCAAACACAGGGGTATAAATACTAACAGAGAAAACGAGAAACACCTGAGACCAATGAGAGGGCAGGGCTAAGAGATAAGGAACACATGAAGACAGGGCAGGACAGAGGTGGAGCTAACATAACAACAAAAGCACATGTCGCAAGAAAACAAAGGTACATGGCAGACATACAAAAACACAGCACTGGGAAACCAAGAAAAAGGCAAAAACAGAGAAAGACCAGGACAAAGAGTGAATGGAAGGTCACGTGACATGATAAATAAAATATTGCGCATTGTGAACATTTCTTGAAATATTATGATATTATATTTTTCATCTTGGCCACCTGTAGTAGGACATGTTTCCTTCAAGAATTTCATGTATTTTACCAACTGTGCACACATGCTTTATTTGGCTTCCTTTTTCTTTTTGTGGCCTATTGAAAAGAAGGATGGCTTGCTTACTTGATTTTTTTTCTTTCAAAAACTTTGTCATTATGGTTTTTGCACCTGTTTAATATTTATCTGCTGAAAAGTCTGATAGGAAAATAAATGTTGATAATTTTGTGAAATATTACTGATAAATAGTCTACATTTGCAAGCTTTTAAATCTGTATATATCTGTCTAATCAGTCAACACACACACACACACACACACACACACAGAAAAAACACATGTAATTGATTGTATATTTATATATTTTTAAATTATGTACATTATATTAGAAATTAGTGCTACTGCTAGTACAATATTATCGATTTACCTACATTTATTTTCTCTCTCTTTAGTGAGCCTTAATCTCGTGTGTGTCTGTCTAGGTGCGTGAGATGTCAGGAGTCCTTCATCAGCACGTCTCAGTCATGCATGTGTGGGTCTCCCAATATCCTGGTGAGAAATTTAAATCCTAATATATAGATAACATCAAGATAATATTTATCCTTATTTATCATTTATTTCATTTAAACCCGTCCGCATACATTGGACAGACAGAAAAATGAAAGGCATCAGGGTTGTTTTTTCTGCTGCATGGAAATCCTGGGCATTTTCTTCTGGATCTATTGAAGTGGTTTGAGGGATCGGATAGCAGTCTGTCTGCAATGCGTCTTAGTTGCATTTATACTAAATTTTTTCAGGATCAGGTAACTATCCAAACAGCCTGGGACGCATGAAGTGGCTAAGCATAAACAGGCTTGACCTTGCAGCTGGATTTCGATTTAAGAGAATGTGGGAGTGCTGTCATATCAGGATTGATGTTTTTTTGTGTGCAGGCTGGAGGAATGTGCTTCCCTTCCAGCAGCCTGCCCGCTTCGGTCGTGCCCACCGTCAGCTTTGCTCAGCTGGTAAGTGCCTGATATTGAATGGTACCAGTGGAAAATTTGGACACACTGAATGTATGTTTTTCATAATAATATTGAAGGTATGATTAACCAAGGATAAAATCAAATTTACAGTTTTCCTCTAACCTCAAACGTAGTCAATTGGGCAAAACATATTGGGTGTCCAGAGATTGCTTTCTTAGTTTTGCACTGGCACTATTTTGGGTGACATAGATTCTCATTAACTAGCCACATTAGCTTCTTTTACTCCAGTGCAGAGGCAAAAAGAAGCACTTTGGAATAAGGGCACTTTCATATGATAATCATTTTGTGGTTAGCTCACCTCAAACATATTGCCCAGAACAAGTTTGAAAACCATCCACCTCAAACCATGGATTCACCTGCATTTGTGTATGCAAACATGTATCTCAGTTTAAAACATCAATACTTGTGACAAACATATGCATATGTGTTACCTTGTAGCAGTTTCACAGTGACTCTTTTACTAGTAAGTTCTGGTATAGAGCTGCCTCCCCTGTTTTCCAACTCTAACAACCCCATTTATTAGGCTGCTGCTGGTTTCAGTCAGTGACACATCTAGGACTTCCAGAAGGCTTAGAGTGATGTTCTTCTTGGTTCTACCCATTAGAAGTCAAAACATGATTGGTTGATTTCTCTGTCATGTCGTAATTATGCGGATGTCTAATCTAATGCAATGGGACTCCTCTTCAGGTCGTGAAGTCCTAACTGATGGGTGAGCAAGCTTAGCTATTTCTACCTATATACCTTGGAGAATAACAACTCCCGATTGGCCAGTTTTCCACTTTTCCAGTTCAAGAATTTAACCCTTTTGTGCAGGACGCTGCAAACTCAGCAGCTAAAACTCACTGCTTTTGAGCTCTTCCACACTGCTTTTGAAGATGCAGCCTCACAGAATACGAAGCACAAAACAAGTGGGCAGAATGTCTTCAAGTGCAAATAATATCTCCTTTGCTCCTCACAGATAGGACAAGTGATGACACTGGAGAGGCTACTCATCATTTTGGAAAAGAGAAAAGTGATCTGAAGGGCTTCATTAATTCATTCAGAAGCTGAAACTTTAGGTTCTTCCACATAGGTTTTAACCCGATGTTCCTATCCCAGTTTGAGCTGCTGTTGAAGATTCTGGTTCTTTTTGACGTTTGTGATCATGTGATCTGACATCTTGGTTGTTGTCATGCCAACGCCAGAGGCAACCACGATTGATCATAGAGTTCATGTCGCTAGCTAAAGTTTGTGAAAAATGAACAGAGATTGAAATAATGTTGCTTTATCATCGTCGTCCAAAAAAATTGTGTTTTGGTATGTTAGTAACTTAGATACATGTGATTGAATTCATTTAGTCTGATCTGAATAAATTGCACAAATAAATCGTGCTAAGTGTAAAGGCCTTAATACTTGTAGCTTTTAAATACAAGTATGATTCTGTTAAATTAATTTAAAAAAAATTACAGACATGGATTTTTAGTTCCCAGAAATCATAAGGCTTTCTCTGAAGGCCTTCTCTGAAGAACACTGGATTCATTGTTATGAAACCAGTTTGAGATGACTTTTGCTTTGTGGCATGATGCATTATCATGCTGGAAGTAGCCATTAGAACATTGGTTAAATGTGGCCATGAAGGGATGCACACTGTCAGCAACAATACTCAAATAGGCTGTGGCATTCAAGCGATGATTGGTATTAAAGGGCCCAAAGTGTGCCAAGAAAACATTCCCCATACTACGGAAATCCCAGGAGATCAGCAGTTATAGAAATACTCAAACCAGCCCATCTGGAGCCAACAATTATCCGTGGTAAAAATCACTGAGATCACATTTTCTCCCCATTCTGATGGTTGAACATTATCTAAAGCTACTATCCCATATCTGCATCATTTTATGCACTGCACTGCTGCCATATGATTGGTTGATTAGACAATTGCATGAATGAGTAGGTGCCCAGGTGTTTTTTAATAAAGTGCTTGGTAAGTGTATTTCTAAGACACATAAGAACAGTTAGAAGAACGCAAGTCAAGTCCCAGATTGATGTCTTTGATGTCCCCATCCATTGCATGTATTTATTTAAATTCATCACCAGCCCACCTGATGAATTAAATGCAAAAGGAATAACCAAACTAGGATCATAACTGCAATTAATACTGGGTGGCCACATATGAGGTTAAGAAATAGTGAGCGGACACATTAACATACATAAAACGATAACAAAGCCATGGAAATGACTAGACAGGGGCTTTAAGACTTTTGCACAGTACTGTATGTTTGCTCAGTGATTTGAAATGCTGCTTAGTAATCAAATAACCTTTGTGGTTTAGGGCCTTGCTGTTCCGTCTACATGGTTCTCTGACTTCCTGTATTTCTCTGCAGCTGCATGTCTGGTAAGTGTGCATAAACACACACACACACACACACACATGCAAATTTTAGTTTCATAAAAACGACTACTTTCATTTTGTTTTCACAAAGTCGGTCTTTACTATGTATTAATTTGCTAGATTATTTTACCATGTTGGTGAATTAGTGATTTTTGATAGCAAAGCAGTGCATCAGACTTCAGTAATACTATCAAACATGACCATTGTACTAGTCCTGAGATTACATAATATGCATTCTTATATCTCTGCATCACATTTACCACATCCTTCCTGCCCTGCTGGCTTATTATTAAAAAAGGTGCTGGAACTTATTTCTGAGCATTGTCACAATGTTCCAGTTCACCTTTGTGGCCTGATTTATTCACATTGATATAATTGACATTTTTATGACAAAAAAAATCTAATTTCCATAATTTTATCCAGCCCCAAATGTAGTTGATCAACTTCATGGTGTCTGATATCTGCTTTTTTAGTTTTGCATAAGTGTCAGCCTCTAGTGATGATAATCCATACTGTATAAATTGACTGATAACTTTATAGTAGTTGATTTTCCTTACTGTGATATGTTCCTTTAGTAATTACTTATTACTTGATGCAGAATCTGAAACTTTATTTTTTTTTACTTCATTTGACTGTTAAACATCTGTGGAAGACACGTCCTTTAAACTTTTAAGCAGCTTGCAATCACCAGATTCATCTGCTTGGGGAAGGACTCAGAAGCACAACTGATATTACAGAATGTTCTTCCGCACATTGCATGCCATTACACATTTCCACCAGAGAGGTCCCCAAAATCCCCAAACATTACATAGTGTAGCTTTAATCAGAATCAGAATCAGAATCAAGCTTTATTGGCCAGGTATGCTTACACATACAAGGAATTTGGTTTTGCTTACAGGAGCTCACAGTGCACAGTATCAGACAAACATTTACATGTAGTGAATAAAATAAAATAAAATACATATAAAATAGAATAGAATAAAATACAATAAAATAAAATAGAATACATGAAAAATAAAATAAAACATGCATTCCTACCATCACTCACTCATACACACACACACACACACACACAGTCATACCTGTAACCAAAGTATGGGTCTAAAGTTAAAGTGCTGAGTGCAGCAGCAGTTAAAGGGTGTATAGTGGCAAAGAAAGGGATCAATGAGGTGACAGTCAGATAAGTGGGGTAATATGGCAGGTAAGTAAGATGCTAGAAGAAACACTGGTCTGAGATGGTAGTTTCAGTGGATGGAGTTGAGTTTGTATATATACCAGTGTTTTAGAAGTGCAGTTTAGAAGCTGGAATATTTTAATGTGTAATATTTGAACTGTTTAAGAAAGTTATACTCCAGGTGAAGTACCTTCAATGCTTTTTCCCCCACATGGAAACTTAGCTACAGTCCCTTGGGTGGCGATCTGATTATTACAGCAGACACTTTTTAAAATTTGGTGAGTGATGCTCATAGGAAATAGGAAGAAAAATACAAGCTGTGATGCCTTTTTTCTGAATAACACTGAACAGAGAAATGTTCCTCAGTCAATATATTGTCATTTGACACTCACAGTTACAAAGAAAAAAACAAATTAGTTAACCAGATAACGTTAACATTTTATTGAACTATACATTCCCTCCAAAACCACCTCAAATCGGGGCTGCCCATACCTGCCTGACTTTTGTTCCACTCCCCTGAAGAAAATAGCAAGCCGGCAGCCTGGTGTGATGGCGGCTTTATGTTGATTTTGAATTTCTATTAGGTGAGCTCATTACTAAGGGAGGGTCTGGACTGAATTATAAGACTGAGTGAGTGCTAAACTTAAATGTTTTCAGCACAGGGCTAAAGATGTGTGGTTTGTGGTAAAGTGCTAGCTAAGGAATGCAGACCCAGCCATCACATTAAGTGACTAGACTTACTATTTGATTATTTATCTGTAATTTCTGTAGTTTTGTACTGGTGTTTACCGTGGGGGATGGAAAGGGGGGATTCGCGAAATACTTCTAACCCTAAAAAAGGAGCGCACTCTGAAAAAAGTCTCAGAAACCACATAAGCAAGTTACAGAAATTGCACATGTAATCTGTCCATGTGACGCGCATACATGTGAAGTCACACCTGTTGTCTGAATGTGCCATTACTACAGCTCAAGCTCAAGTGAAGCCCCAGAGGGGATCAAAGGAACACAACTGGCAACTTTGGCAGCAGAACTTGCCTGAAAATCATTATGAGCTGATTCATTTCTCTTTTCAAACCTTCAAAAACTGTGGACAGAGCTGTTCTTGGCCTTAGCAATGTAATACTTTACGATACTTAATATGTCAAAAAGTTATACTATGCTGTAAACCACATTTGCAAGTGTGCGCAACCTTAATGAAAACCTGGATGCAGTCTGAACAAGTTCAGAGAAGTTTTGGAGATGTAATTTTACTGACATGCTTTGGGCTATTTGGGGACTATTGAGTTCTAGTGTTTGTTAGCAACGTTCGCCCCATAGCTCACTGAACTAAAGAATGCTTGGGCTTTGGGCTCCTAACATTTGTTTACCTGATTGACTACATCTGAAAGTGGAAAACTTGGTAAATTTGACTTAGCCAATTCCCAAATTTGGTCCCTATTCCTATTTCTTTAAAAACAGGCCCATTGTGTCTAAACGTACTGTCTTGTTGGGCCAAAATGCAATGCACTATATTTTAAGAATACATTTTTTTAAAGGAAAATGAGAATTTAAAAGTTATATATTGTATAATGTGTTTGTTTTCTTATTGTGAGAAGGGGTTGGGTTAGGGTAATTTTCTGACAGTCTGAATCAAACATCCTCATTGACCAACAATGGTCTGCGGGCCACACTTTGGGCACCCTGCTTTAGGCTATAGGACATTGTGAAAAAAATACAGAGCATGGATCAGAAGATGACTGCATCGCATTTTGAATGTTAGAATCAATTGCAGTTGAATAAAATTAGGGATGCATTAAGATCAGTTCTTTCAAACAGAGTACATGTTTTTTGGTACTTGCCGATACTGATACCATACTGAGTAACCTACTTAGAATGAAATAGTTGTTTGTATAAATGAGTGCAATATACCTGTGTAATGTGTAATGTAACAGTTAAATTGTTCAAAAGCACTTCTGTACAGCTATAAGTACAGTATGTTTCATAGTTTCGTTCTCATGCTCTCTTTCTCAACAACAGTCTCTATAGCGCAGTGAGAACAGGAATCACATCCAAGGCTAATCTGAGGAGCTCACTTGTCGAGTTTTATGTCTCGTTGGAGTCTTTTGCTTGGCTGGTTAAGCTGTAGTTGAATGTCCTCTAAAGCCAGGCATACACTGTGCAATTTTAGAAAGGCTACCTAGTAATAACACACACTTTACGTATGAATAGATCATTGTGATGAACAAAGCCTTACATGCTTACACTGTACATAAACGTTTGGTCCGAATGACATGGTGCGAGAATCACAGCCCCTACAGACATACCTGTGCCACAGTGTTCACTGAAACTAAAAGCAGGCAGTGATGTACATGACTCTCCACAATCTATTTTACAAAAACAATTGCCTCACAACTCTATTCAGTCAAACAGAGTAAAGTTGGTATATATGGATGTTGGTACCACAAATGTTGACTTTTTGTTTGGCTCTGTTTTCTTAGCCTCTGTGTGTTCACCCATATTGGGGAAGTGCTTGTGATTGTGTTTGTGCATGCTTTAAAATGGGCCAAAATCACACATTGTATACCTGACTGGAACATCCCAACGTGGAATGTTTAAAATGACCATTGACTTTGTGTATGACCTCCACGGCATGTGCACTTTTCACGGTGCAAGCAGACTCTCACTTACTGCCAGAGTTATACAGTCATTTGTCATTTGTTCATTAGCGTACACTGGGCTCACGTCACCTGACATCAGATGGTATTGACAGTATACAGATGGTATGCAAGTAAAGGAGCATGGTATCAATCAATACTGATGCATCCCTAATTAGAACAGTAATTAAGTAAAAGGTGCATTTTTGGCCAAAAATAAAAGTCTTAAGCTATTGTGAAAAGTAAAAAAAAACCTTGTGTGTTTTCACTGTCTACTGTGTAAATACTTCTTCTGAATTGTACCAAAATTATAGTCAAGTGGTGGTGAATTTAAGATCTATCATTGTGAGGTAAGAGATTTACACCTCTAGTAAAAGCATGTGACTTAACACTGATTTTGATTTGTCCTGTAGTCTTTTACCAATCTGACAGCCTGTCAGACTCTGGGGAATATGTGTGTATTGAACATGCACTCCACGAGCACTATTAGCAACGATGCCTGCGGCCTCTACAACACCATCTACAGAGCCACTGCAGCCCAGGGCAACAACCAGGACATCCCCTACTGGTATATACATGCACCACAGATACACTGCTTAGTATGCACTGCCACTGTAGAAATACTCATTTGTTGTGGCAACAACAAATTCATGTAATAAAAGTTATGATTTTTTATTAGTACCATCCAAGTTTTACATGTTAATGCATTAACCTCTAGCCCTCTACTTGCCATTTCGCCATCAGAATAGAAATGGACTTTTTTATTTTTTTAATATTTTTAATTAATATAATCAAAGGGAAAACATTTTTCCTGTAAATCTGTGTTGATCTGCTAGTGAGCAATGAGGGGTGAATGCAGAGGGGTGAGAACGTCCTGCTGTGAAAACAATTCACACCTCTCCACAAAGACGGCAGTGCCGAGATAAAACAGACAGCCGCTCTCTCCATATTGATCAGTCCTGTACAGCTGCCACAATAAAAAACGTAAACGCAGTGAACGTATTTTTAAAAATGATGATTTGCTTGCTCAACTATGAAGATGTTAATGGAGTTTTTTTTCTGGTTTTGTAAATCAAACACATTTCCATCATAAAAATGTATTCCATCAGTTAGTTATTGAAGAGTTTAACTGTTGCACCTCCTTCAGAACATTTAGCATAGTAGCATTTTATAGCACTGTAAAAAGGGGTTATTGTGATAAATCATTAATGCCAGAAATGTTTTAACGTCATTAAAGCATTTCTCTGGTTGCACCCTTCAAACCATTCATAGTAGTCTGAAGGCTGAACAATCCACAGGCTGAAACCGAGCTGTTAGTTGGCTGCTTGTTGCTATATTTATAGATAGTGTGCTTATAGCCTTCTCATTCAAATTCAGTTATTAAATCACTTTTCAGCACCTTCTGCAGACTATGATGGATAGTGTTCGTGGGAAACCTATGGATAAATTAACAAGCAGCAAATGTATGAGCAAAGTGGAAAGCTCCAGTTCTCCTTAAGAACCTCCACTGTAACAAAAATCCATGAGCTATATGAACGATAAAGAGAAGAGAATTACAGTGCCAGAGGAGTTAGGTCCATTACTGTGTAGATAGACAGTTGTATGCAAAAGTTTGAATACCCCTTTCTAATGACATATTTTGTTGATTTTTATAAGTAAAAAGTTAACACATCTTCTACAGGGAACAAAGTTTAACATATTGAAAAAAGATAAAAAGCATGCCATAATTTTTGCACAGACCACATTTTAAGTTTCTTGTTTGTCCAGTATGTTAAATAATAAACAAATAAATAGTAATTGTGCATTCAAATGTGCAGAGGTATGTGTCCCAAAGTCTAAATATCATAGTTAACATTTTTATGTAAAGTTTCAGTAGGTTATGATTGTTTTGTTTGTGACAAAATAGAATGTGCAATCATTTATTTTAATAAAACAAACAATTAATTGGGTCATTCTAAGCAAAAGATTTTTTGTCTAAAGTCCAAGTCAGTTAAAAGTCTGAAATGTGTTTTGAACTTTGAATTTAATTAATTGGTAGAATGATCTATATGCACTTATTAGTTGGAACATGCAGCTACGGTTGCTCTCAGTGGACATTAGTGATGAATACTAGAAAGTGAGTTCACTAAAGTCATAGACATTGGAGGATGGCTTCCCCTTTTAAGTCCTCTCAGTCTTTCTTCTTCATGTTTTTAGGATGTTTCTCCTAATGCTGTCATTCTCGGCTTGATCTTAGGGACTAAACCTGCTGTTTTTTTTTATTTTCAGGAGGACTAACATGCCCTGGCTGTATTACGGAGACCAGCCAGGATTGGCATCAAGAGTTCTACAGTCTGAGCCACTGCCAGTAGGCTTCAGCTTCAAAGGTAGAAATAAGGTAAGAGAAGATCATGTGCTAAACAGCATTTCCTTACCTTTTATGTACAGTTTGAAAACCTCAGTCCAAATCAACAAACTTAAATATGGCGTTTTCCTGCACATTTTTATGCACGTTTGCCAAGTTCAACATAATAAAAAAAAAGCATAAACTATTAAAACATTCACAAGAAATAAGCAGACATCCTCTCTAGAGAACACACTTCTGCATATTTTAATGCACAATTACTGTTTATTTGCTATATTTAAAATATTGAAAAACCTAAAAATAAATAAATAAATAAGAAAAATTTAGTCGTTCAAAGTTATGGAAGTTTCTTTTTTTGCAATATGTTCAACTCAGCAAGAAAAGAGAAATTGTGCACTAAATTTGACCTGCTTTAGAGGTGTTCAAACTTGCATATGACTGTATGTGGCCAAGCAATATTTGCTGAGCTATGTGCTTCTACAATAAAACATAGCTCGGTGGAGGAGATTGTGGATGTGTGTGTTTGTCCTCAGAACACTAATATCGAGCTGCTGGCTGCAGTGTACACGGCGCAGGGAGAGTTTATCAGATGGGAAAATGTCGGCGGAGGGAACCTGCAGGTAAACCAGCACTCCGATCACACACCTCATGAACTGTGGACATTTATACCAAATAAATCCTTCACTCAATACAGTGAAAAATGTTGAAAGTCAGAGGTAGAGTATGTTTATTAGCATAATGAGGTAGGGGTAGCATAATGTAGCATAATGAGGTAGGGGTTATTTATATGGAATATGGTTATATGGAATATTGATGAAACACCTGTCAGAATGAAACATTATCTGTTATAGCATCTGTTTAAACAGTAGGGTATTACAAACAATAGAAAGAGTAAGAGGAAAGCTGGATTAGCATAAGCTAACACATTTTGGTTTTTTGCTTAAGTGTTGGCATTTAAGCATTGAAGCAAGGCTAATAACTGTTGTGTACACATTTTTGCTTCAAATGAAAGCGTAAATTTTGTTTACACCTGGAAGGGTTGTTAGATTCAGTGGGTTCAGCTGGAGATAAAGTGCATTTGATAGATAAATACATGTACACTTCAGACATACACAGCATGCACGGATGTTTAGTTCACATTTCACACATATACACCTACACTTCAGAGTCTGCATGAGTTCAGCTTGAGGTCAGCAGCAAGAGCTCTCTGAGCCAATTACCATATATAGTACACACACACACACACACACACACACACACATTTGCATAGCAACAGGGACTTTTTTGTATACATTACTCTATGTACATAAGTCTGTCTTAAGAATGTAGCTTTAGACAGCAGCTATAGGAGGGTATTACACTCACTAGGTTCCATGCTGTTATATTGGCAACTTCAGATTGCTGTACAGTAAAGACACTGACCATTCACCAACAATTCTTAAGAAGAAATTTCTTCTTAAACCCACATATGCAGTTTTTACGAAGATTCTGACATTCACCAGTGTTTTCTTGTTTGGTATTTGTTCTTAGGTAGGAACAGAATCTACACAGAATACAGAGCACAGAGGTGTTGACAGATGTTTTGAATAAATAATCTTTATCTTCTGATAATGCTAACAAGTAGTGTTTATTAACCAAAGAATAGTAATCTTCACACTGTAAAGTAGGCCTTAGCTTCCATGAGAACTTGGACTCAGGATGCCCCCTGTTGGTAAAAGGGGCCTCCTGAAGCTTGTGAAAATCTGCTGTGTGAGCAAGAAGTATTGTCCTTGAGATAAGAACCAGCCCTGGAACAGGTGAACTTACAATGAAACCAGTCAAAGGTAATGTCCTTGGGAACTGGAACGTTCTGGTACAGCTAAGATAAGATATTAAAAAATAAAAAACATATATCATGTATGATTGGAAATAAGGGTTCCCAAGTGCAAATGTGACGGTTCCCATGTATATGTAAGGTTTGGAAATGATGAGAACTAAGATGGTATAGAATTCCATAGAAAAGGAGGGGCGATTACTTCATCGCCTCAAACAGGATATAAAAGTGGGTGTTTTTGACATGTTCTTTGCATTGTGGTTGTCCGGGAACCATCTTGCCATCCAAGCTCAATGAAGAAGAAGGCCTTTTCCTTCCTTCCACAAGAACTCAGCGACTGAAGTCTTTTTATTTTACTTTGCTTTTTACACTTTGACATTTTTCTTATTTTGTTAGAGGAAGTTATATTGCGGTTAGCTCTTAAGGTAACAGTATTAGAACACGCTAGGAGAATCCATCTCTGTCCACGGGCCTTGAGCACAGAAGAGAGGCTTTTGGGCCCGACAGTGTGAACAGTCAAGAACAAACTAAAGAAGAAACTTAGGAAGATATTGAAAAATTCTGCCACTGCCAGTAGCTACTACAATAGCAGTCGGTGGAACGTTTCATCAAGAGTTCATTTTTCCCATGTTTGGCTGTCAGCTGGATGTTAATTTGTATGAAAGCTGTGGATGCTGTACAGCTCATTGTTGAAGTCCAGGTGCACCCAGTATTATACAACAAAAGCTAAAGTAGAGAATAGAGAGAATTCTCCTGACTTTCGTTCTTCTTGAATGAACAATCAGCAACTCTAAAGCTCTCCTCTGTTAATCACCCTAATTGGCCCTAATTCTGTCACTATGGCAGTGTTTCAATGGCAGCATTCTGTCGACGTTTGTGTCCCGCTATGAGGCATGGAACATCGTTTGTTATTTATTTATTATTTTTCAACTTCATGATGTAAACACAGCATTTTGCTACAAAGCATTCTACAAGGTGAATCTCATGAAATATCTGTCAAATTGAAGTCAAAATTTGGAGATGATGTTATGGAAACACAAGCTGACCAAAAGCACATTCTGCTTGACAATGTTTAACTACATAAAATATCCATGTTACATTTTACGCACAAAATCTTTTTTTTTTTTTGGCTAAAAAATGGCCATACTTTATTGAAATTTCTTATAATCCATTGTAAGTAATTCCAACATTGCAAAGTTGATTTTGCTATATTGTCACCCTCATATTTCTGCATTTTTATACCAATGTAATATGTTAATATGTTGGTGGCCCATGTTGGCTCTTTATCACTTGTAGCTCTGTCCAGACACGCTAATCAGACAGCAGGCTGCTTACATCTTTGGGATGGCCTACAAGCAGAATGTGAGTATCTGTTGCAACTGTCTGTAAATATTGAGTGTGATTTGTATGTTTTTACTGAGCATGTTCCTTCTCCTCAGTGCGTCCTCTCTGTGTCTGACCTCCTGGCTGGTCAGTCGGAGCCTCTGTTCTATGATATCTTCCTGGTTCAACAGAAGGCTCAGGGAGATAGGCGACTACTGGCAGTGCCTATACTAAACCTCAACCTGCAGTTCAACGGCCAGTTTGTCAACCAAGGTAACATACAGTTCACTGCCATTCAAAAGTCAGAGATCTGTTGTTGTATTAACATCTTTATTATTTTACTTAATAAAAACCTACACAATGTAGATTGAAATTGTGTAATCTAGGCTCCCAATTTTCAGATATGTGGCATTCTGGATTAAGGCCCAACCGATAATAATATTCCATGACTGATACTGTACCAAGGGGCTAAAAATTCATACAACCAGTAATATAGGCTGATGTTGATTTTATATTGATATGATTGTCAGTTACCTGTGAATTGGGATATGACTGTCAGTTGTTTATGGTCATGCTTACTAAACTCAAACAGCAGAAACTCACACTACCTGTTTCAATACGATTTTTAACATGACTTGGTCAACATTGCCTCAAGATTGAATCCCCAACGCTGTCTTAAGGGCCATTCCTTTACTATATTAGCTCAAGTGAAGTTTGAGACCTTAAAGAAATGAGAGATAGAGTCAGCAAAAGTGTTCACTTTGGCAGCAGAACGTCCCAGAATATTATTGGGATCTAGCGCATTTTCCTTTTCAAATCCCCTCCAAAATGGCTGACAGTGCTATTTATAAACTGTGGCAATAAAATACTTTAAAACTTCAGAAAAACTTCAGAAAAATTCAGTTTGACTAAAGAGTAGTGTTGATTATTCTTTCTAAGATTACAATATAAATTTTAAAAGGCTGCATCTCTTTAGTTAGAAATAAAAAATATAAAGCATTAATAAGTGGTTGCATTCCATAAAGGGTTCATTGCAAAGGTGTAGCCTTGTGTATAGAGTATAGCGCATTGTTTGACATCTATGAATTCAACATAATTTTCCTATAGATTGTTCACTTCTAATTTTTATTTAAAATTTTTAATTTTGATATTAGCCACAAACACAAATAGGTGGTACCTCACACGGAGGCTGATGCTGATTGACACCTTGAGTGGAAGAGAGAAGAGTCTGAGTTCCACCCCCAGAGTCATACGCATAGCTTCGAGCTTAAAGATAAGGTAATGTACACTATGTACACATTCATTACAAGGGCATTTGGACACCATTTCAGTTGTAAAGTATCAGAACTTAATGAACTTATTAGGTTTTAATTGACTCGTTAGGGCTGGATTCTTCAAACATTATGCTAACTCAACAACCAAGGGCTCCTCTAAGCAGCTGACTGATGATCTGAAAATGAAGCTAATTTATGTCTACAAAGCAGGATAAGGCTATAAAAATATATCAAAGCTCATCCAGCTTGCAGTTTTCCCTGTTTTGAAATCATCTTCATTTAAATCATCCGATATCGATTCATATAGACCCAAGATCAATCTTTAAAATTAGCCTATTTTTCCCGTGTATGCGTAAATCTTTAACCCCCTTTAATCTCGCGTGACCAGCCACTGTTTTTTCGCGCAACGAGATCTTGCCTGCACATCAGTTAAGCATGGCTGGAGCTCAAGTGCAGGCGCCCCAGAACCTGAAAGCAGATGTCTGGTAACATTTTGGATTCTAAAACCATCACGGTAGGAAAGAGCTGGACAAAAGCAAAGCCGTATGTATGCTATGCAACATGGAGGTGAAATATTGTAGGAATGCCACAAATCTGAAACCTAACACGACATCACCCTGATATTCAAAAACACGCTAGACTCCAAACAACCTGCACTAGAGAAGGCATTTGTGAAATTACCTTCAAGTCCTTGCCCGTGCCAAAAAATTACTAAGGCTCTGGTAACTTCTACATGTAAGGATATATGTCCATACAGCGTTGTTAAAAACGATGGCTTCTGTAGCCTTATTAATGTTTTGGAGCCACGTTTATATTTGACCCACACGTAAACATTTGAGTGAAGTTGCTATTCCAAACCTGTACGCAGATGTGAAACATTGCGTCACAACTTCACTTAAGTCGACAGAGAGAGTCACCCTAACCTTTCATAGCTGGACATCCAGAGCAATGGATTTGTACCTAACAATTACAGCTCACTATATCGGCGACAAATGGAGGCTCATGTCTCATGTTTTACAGACAAGGGCAATTGAAATCAGTCACATGGCCAGGAATCTAGCTGAACTATTGTCTGAGGCGATACAAGAGTGAGAACTTGTAAACAAAGATCCAGCTATCAAGACAGACAGTGCTCCAAACCTGACCTGTGAATTAACTTACACATTGGCTGTTTCGCTCACACACTCAATTTAGCCTCACAGACAACTCTCAAAATTCCACCTGTTGCGCATTTGCTTGGCTGAGTGAGGCGCATTGCATAATTTTTCATCGGAGCACTACGGCAAGCCACAAACTCAGAAAGAAGATACTGGGGCTGCCTGAAACAAGTTGGTGATTGACGTGGCAGCTCCTTGGAATAGCGCACTGGAGATGCTAGAACGCTTCCTGGAGCAGCAACCGGCGATCTCAGCAACTCTGCTGTCACCAGTAGTACTTCTTGTGCAATTACAATGTTAGTTATCTGAAAATCTCTTTTCATATCCAAACAAAACCTGTTACTGTAACTGAAATATTCCTAAATTAATCATTATCGAATTGAATTGAATTGAATCGGAAATCGAATAGAATTGTCACATGGTGAATCGGAATCGAATCGATTTAGGAAATCAGTGGTGCTACCCAGCCCTAGGTAAAGCTGCTTGAATGATGGCCAGAAAGGCAAAGCAAAACCCCCTATGACAGCAAAGGAGGAGCAGGAAGCTTTAGCTGACACAGCTGGCATAGTGGTGGGGCACTGTTCAACTGTGCAGCATTGCTTGCACAAACATAATCTGCCTGGAGTCTTTGACTCATCAGAAACAAACCTTTTTAGAGAGAAAAAAGAGCAGCATTTGATGAAAGGAACACCTTGCCAACTGTTAAGCATGGGATTGGAACTGTTGTGCTTTGGGGTTGTGTGGCCATATTGCACAGGCAGATAGTAGAATCAATTTCACAGCAAATTCCAGAAGTAATCTGAAGCTGAAAAGGGACTGGCTTCTACAACAGGACAAAATCCACTATGAACTACTTCAAGAAATGAAAGCTTTTGGAATGGTCCTCTCAATCCTCTCAAACTTGAAAATCTGTGGGTAGATCTTATACATGCTGTGCATACAAGATGGCCCAAGAATATCACAAAACTAGAAGCATACTGCAAGGAAGAGTGGGTGAAAATTCCTAGAACAAGAATGGAAAGACTCCTGTCTGGCTAGAAAAAGTGTTTGCAAGCTGTCATATCTTCAAAAGGAACAAGAAATCTGACTTAGCAGGGAATCACTTACACATCCCCTATTACTATTACTATTGACTATTTTACTTTTTTCTATTTTTAGTCTCTTCCGTAAATACATACATACAATTTCTCTCAATCCAAAATGTCATGCAAACCCGTCAGTGTGGTTAATCTTTAATTTTCACAGGTAAGATATACACCGACCAGCCACTTCATTAAGTACACCTGCTTGTATCTATACTCTTTGTCGATTTTATCAGGTCCACTTATCACATAGGTAAACTTCGTAGTTCTACAATTACAAACTGTAGTTCATATGTTTCTCTGCATACTTTGTTAGCCATCTTTCACCCTGTTCTTCAGTGGTCATGACCCCCACATGACCACCACAGAGCAGGTATTATTTAGGTGGTGGATACTTTTCAGCACTGCAGTCACACTGATGTAGTGGTGGCGTGTTAGTGTGTGTTGCACTGGTGTAAGTGGATCAGACACAGCAGTGCTACTGGAGGTTTTAAATACTCTCCACAGGTGGACTACAGTCTGTAATTGTAGAACTACAAAGTATGGTAAGTGGTGCTGATAGTGGACAAGGAGTGTAGATACAAGAAGGTGTACATAATAGAGTGGCCTATCAGTGAATGTTTACAAATAGGTGTAAATAAATACAAATATAATATTTTATAATAATATCTTGTAGCTTCAGTGCTAAACTAGATAAGCAAAAATTGAGGTACGTCAGACTCAAAACATGTCCTGGTAAAACGACTACATTTGTGGTAAGGGGAAAACAGAGTAAATTAGGTTTTTTTTTTTGCCAGACTGTTCCTTTAATAAAAAAATATTGTTTTACATCTTATAGGTTTCAACTGGTGCCAAACACCCAGAAAGGAGAGGTATACCCCCCTCTGATAACTGTGTCCTACTCTGATATTCTCATCACTGACCCAGGGAAACAAACTGTAACCGTAAGTATATGTATACGGTGTGGGTATGTATCTGCACACAGTTTAGAAGATAATCTTGATGTGTTTATGTGTATGTTCTAGGTGTCATTCTCTGTGGAGTATGAAATGGACCAAAATGAAGCTCGGGTCAAAACTGATGTGAGTGCTGAGATGAGGATAAGTTTAGCTTCTTCAACTGGATCAAGATCTTCTCCTTTATGGAAGTTTTATTTGAATGTGTCCAGATTGCTCTGGGTGTACTGGGTGGAGTGGCCGTTGTGTACTCTCTGTTGAAGACAGCAAGCTGGAAAAGAAGAATTGCCTCTCCTCTCATTGATTTTCCGGCAAGTGTACACATACAGATACATCAAAGGACACACTGACCACATTTACACCTGGTAATTTTAGGTGACTAGCATCTTGTATTGTAACCTGAAAAGATTTTTAAACACTCTGCATCTCTGGCTTGTCAAACTGAAATCAGATTTCTATGTGGCGTGTAAAATAACATGCGAATCAGCTCATACACAACAACCAATTGTTTGTGTTTCAGTTCGCTTTTCTGTTCTTTTCAAGAGAAAATCACACACTGGCACAGCATTGTCCATTTCATTAGACCAGCAGCCAATAACAGCAAATGAACATGGCTTTTAAGAATGATTAGATTCCTGTAGTAGCTATCAACGTCATGAACCACAGTACATTGATGGTGTAAAATGTTGAGGCAAAGGCACTGCTTTCTTTCTTGCTTACACCTTTACATCTAATATTTCTCATTTCGAGATTTCTATAAGAATTTTATAAGATTATTTAACTTAATTCTAGACATTTCTAAATGAAGTAGTTTTATGAATTTATCTCACTATATTGGCAGGTCATTTTGCTTGTTTTAAGGCAAATGCTTCTAACAATCTAAATAGTCTGCCAATATAGTGAGATATTTTAATTCAGAGTAAAGTAGAAGAGCAGTGAGATTATAATTATATGAACAGAGAGAGAGAGAGAGAGAGAGAGAGAGATAGTAGCAAAATATTTGCAATGATCCAAAATGAATTCACTTCCAATATATTTTATTAATAAATCATGGAAGTGATGTGGCAAGTCAACTGGAAGGCTCTCATTCACTGCTCTTGTTTGGAGCACATGAGACGCAGGCTGCCACTCATCTGTGATAAAATGCGCAGTTATGGTGAAATAAGATCCTGTGGCAGTGGGGGTCCACGCAGCAGATCACAGCTATTCTATCCATTTTCTTCAGTAATTCCATAACTGACGGGATGCTGTATCTCGGCCCCAAAGTGTGCAGCATAGCGCGAAAGCCCTGGTTCTCAACTGATAACGGACACAAATCCTTGGCAATAAAAGCTGCTAACATGCTGAAATGGCTTGCTAATCCACCACCCTATAACCCTGAAGGCTGGCGTGTAGACTGCAGGTCACATATCAACACAGACAGTCTCGCCTAGCTAGTTGCTAACGAAAAGGCAAAGAGAAAGATTTAAGACAAACATTTGGAGACGAATGGATTTATTCGCATTTATAAGCAGCGCAGTTGGTTTCCTGGAACGTTAAATCTGCAAGGAGAAACTGACAAACACTGAAAAGTTGCAAAGCTGAAGCTTCTCTTTCGAATCTGGTCCACCTTAAATGGCGCTGCATTTACATTCTGGCGCCTCGGCAGAATTTAAGGTGGAACGGGAAAATTCGAACAAGAAGCTGGCAAATGAGAAGCTGGCAAATGAGAAGCTGACGTCAGCCTTGTAAAACAGTCAAACTTTGAGAGACATTTTACAAGAAACTGATCTACTTTTGAGGAAAACTTTCCTATCGGAAATGGGAGGAAAGCGGCTAAAGCTTAAAGCAGAGCAAAGTAAATCTGCGTTTTCGTTTATATTTTTTAGCAGGTACTAGGAATTTAGCACATATTGAGACATATTGGACATAAAATGTTGTGGCTCCCAAGGTGGTCTGATTTTTGTTGAAAGGACAAAATGGCTCTTTTTAACATTTGGGTTGTCGACTCCTGACCTAACCTAGCTTTTAATGCAGAGGGTGCCGGTCAGATTTCTTGCTCATCCAGTTGTGTTTTTGTTATGTGCCGCCACAGACTGTCCGGGCACTGCACTTCTGCACTTCCAAGTTCCACCTTTCACATTCTGTCAACATTATGTTATCAATTAAAATTTAGAAAATCGATTTTTGACATTTGTGAAACGATTCAGAATTGTCCACATCCGCATCGCGATGCATCTAAGAATCGACCCCCCCTCCCACCCCTAGGTCTTTCAATATTAACTTGTACAGCATATCTAATTTTCTTGGGGTCCTTGGTTCATGGGGCCCTAGGCAGCTGCATACATTTGGCTAGTGCAATTTTCATTGTGTAAATTGATTTACGTTAGCTTTTGTTACTTGTTAGCTCCAATGGCCTTGTAGCTTTGGTGAAAAAACTAAAGAAGCAAACTTTGGACACTGAACATGTTTTGGCTGATTGACTGTATTCGGGGCAACTTTTAACTATTGCTTAAATGTTTCCTTTGCATTTTGACATACCACAGTATATAGTTGGAATATATCATACGGCAGTAATTAGAATGCACTTTACTTTTTATTCAGACTTTTCTTCTTTTTTTCCAGACCATTCTGAAGTTCTTGCTGATCTATGCTGGAGATTTGGCAAACGTTTTCTTCATCATCACTGTGGGAACAGGACTCTACTGGCTCATCTTCTACAAGGTCAGTATTTTGCAGGTGTTTCCTAAACCCTCTAAACACTAAGAGTGAGTTTCTACAATAGAAAAAGACAAAACTAAAAGATTAATTGCCAAAATCAATCACCTTTACTGCCCGGTCAGAAGCATCTATACTTTATGCTTTTGCTCATTTAAGACACTCAAGGTCAATATTAGACACATGAGTAAGCAGTGTTCCTTGTAGGACTTGCAGTATTCAGTATTTCATTAAAAAGGCTTTGGGAGTGGTGTTAAAAAAATGTGGAACAATGGATGGAATATGATAGGGTAACTCCTAACTGCCTATTATTCAACGTTTCTGCATAAGGTTCGATGCATGGTTTTAGCTCTTTCTCCTTTCTCTGGAATGGAGCATTTCACGTTAAACCATTCTGATTGACTTTCTTTTCATCTTAGTGATTGAATTATGCAAAAATTTTTAATTGTCAGAATCTTTGGTACCTGTGGTAAAGATGAACAAAAAATGCTATGTTTGAAAACATGATACATCATACAGTGATGTAACATTTTTTGAAGAAAACATAAAAACAAGCTTTCTTAAAAATATATACTGAATGTAATATAGCTTATAGTGCAAATCAAATGTATTTTAGTCTCTTTCCTTTCCTCTGGATTTTGTCCAGACAATGAAGACAAGTCTGTTTCAGTAGTTTAATCTTAATGATCATTTTTTGTGTTCTCCATCCAGGTCTTGTCTCTGTGGTCACACTTCACATTCATGTTTTTATGTGATAGAATAAGTAGGCTATGAGAACTGTCACCCAGAGTTTAACCATATGTATGTGTATCTGTTTTGCAGGCTCAGCAGTTTGCGTCTGTGTTGTTGCCGTTACCATCTCAAGAGGAACGCTTTGTGACGTACGTTGGCTGTGCTTTTGCACTTAAGGTAATTCATAAATGGCAACATAAAAGACGGAAGAGTGCATGTTAGTTTTACCAGCTCTTCATACTGTCCTTACATGAAGCGCTACTCAAATGAAAATTACATATTATACACCACAAAAACAGAAAACTTGTGGAATTAATGTTTCAAATCTACATTGACAGTTATAAACATATCTTTAATTAAGACTAAGGGCCACATTTAATAAAAGAGGCATTAATTTCTGAACGAATATACTGACTTTTTTTATAGCTTGTAAGGGAGGCTAATTTTACAAGTTTCTCTCTAGGACTTTTATGCAAATGAACACAACCTTTGTAATTAACATATGATGGGCGCAATATAACCATGTGTTTGACTTTGCATTTATTAGTGCAGTATGTGCATTGTTTGGGACACTGCCAAAAAGTTGTGATTCTAATTATTTTACACTATATGGCCAAAAGTATGTGGACATGCTTCCTAATTATTGAACTCAGTGTGTTTCAGCCACACTCATTGCTAACAGGTATATAATATTAAGCACACAGCCATGCACTTTCCATAGACAAACAATGGCAGTAGAATGGACCGTACTAAAGAGCTCAATGACTTTAACACTGGCACTGACATAGTATGCCACCTTTTCTACAAGACAGTTCAAATTTTTGTCCTGCTAGAGCTGCACCAGTCAACTGTGAGTGCTATTATTGTAAAATGGAAGCGTCTAGGAGCAACAACAGCTCTGCCACACCAAATGTACGTAGACCATGCAAACTCACAGAGTGGAGCCACAGAGTGCTGTAGCGCATAGCATGTACAAATTGCCAAAATCACCAATATGCTGTTGTACTACATATAATATTTATTGTGAAAACACTACAAATATTGAATTAACAAAGTTAGCACAGTTACTTAATTCACAGCCTTTATAGTCCAAAAGCTGCAATTTTTCCCTTCTTTTGTTGGAATGACTGTGTCTGGTCAGCGGCATGTATTGGTCAATAGTAAGACTGCTGGATAAATCATATTTTCATTGTTATTGCAGTATGAGGGTTTAAGCACATTCAGTGAAAAAAGAATATTTGTGGTCACGCACTGATGTTGGACGAGAAGATCTGGCCCACAATCAAATTTTGTATTTTTTGCTATTTGTTTAGTTACCTGTTTTCACAGAAAAAAATATCAGTATCTGTATTTGCTGCACACCCAGTCAGAGACACTATTCTAATTTATTGCGTCTTGTATTTTCTTCGGCTTTATTACACATGCACTTTTCCATGCTCTGCAGGCGGTGCATTTCCTTCATAAGCTTTTGGTGCAGTTGTCAGTGGATATATTCTTTATAGACTGGGAGAGACCTCGAAGCAAGACCAGTAAATGTGTGGAAGGTAATTAATGTCTTCAGTATTATCTTTCCTTCAATGATGTTCCAAGTTATGCCACAGTATCTTTACTCTTTTAACCCCTTATACCCTGAGGACCTGTATATGAAGTTATATTTCAGTTCATTACTTTTATAGCTACTTAAGTATTAGTTTTGCAGTAATTACTGATTTGTCGTAGTTACCGAAGGACATGTATTAGGATTAGTAGCTTAATAATAAGTGTAATTCAGGGGTTAATTATGCCATATTGATTGTTACAGTGTTTCTAATCTTATTTTTTCTGCCATATTTATTGTTCATGTACTCAGCTGTATTTGAATTACTCAGCACTGTTGGGGATGTTATTGTGTGATTTCAGGCTCTGGCGAGGGAAAGCCCCCAGCAGCCCCTGTCAGCATCTGGAGGACATACTTTGTGGCGAATGAGTGGAACGAGATCCAGACCATCCGAAAGATCAGCCCCACCTTCCAGATCATCGCCGTTCTCTTCTTCCTGGAGGTAAGAATCAAGTTGGGGGCAGAGCTTCTGCAGGGTATCTCTGTGGGGGATTGTTTTCATAAAAAGTGTGAAGAAATTATGTAAAAGCTATAAATGATGCAAATATTAATATAAATGATACCTTAAATGGCTGTAAATTTAAACAAGCACATTGTGTTTTGTTTGTTTTATGGGATTTTTGAATTTTGATCAACAAATTTTGACAAGCAAAAATCAACTCATGCCTCTTTGGATTTGAGGTTTAAATAAGAGATACGAGTAGGTCTTTTCTTTTAATTTTTTGTTAGATTTGGCTAAAGGTAGATTTGTGAAGAGATGGGAAAATGCATATTTTCTGAAAAATGGCTAGATGTTGTTGCAGGCTTCTACACTGTAAAAGTCATTTGCACAATGAGTGTTAATGTTAAAAAAGATAAGTCTGTAAAAAAGATAAGTCTGTAAAAAAATAAGTCAACACAGAAGCCTACAGAAAATGACTTTAATGCCTTTCTGTGCTAAAGCTAATATATAGATAACATTTTAGTGGCCTCATCTACTGAAATGAAAAGTTTGTTTTGCATACACATGCACTGCTTTGTAAATTTAGCTTTTGTGTAGCCTTAAAGGGCTTTCCAACCTAACACTAGTAAATATGTTATTTGTCATGTTATTCTTTAGTATTCTTTAACATAGCTCTTTATCCTTCAGCCTCATCGATTAGACAGAATTCACGTTTTTATGGTGTTTCCATGTTTTCGATCATCAGTGTTCTCTTACTACAGTACACAACGTGGTATGCAAATACTACAAACATGAGGAATCCCTCTGGTGTCAACCAATCCTGACTGCTAGCCTAATTGCTAATAAATACGACCAAGCTAGTTATAGTGTAACACTTATCTGAGTTTTCAAACAAAATTGCAAACAGAACAGCGATTCTGTCTTTATTCAGCACAAAACAGACTGGAAACAATTTTTTACCCTTTTCAGCCAGAGAAAAGAAGCCAAACTGAAGTAAAGTAGAACTTTCATTTTTAGCTTGTTGCCCTTCTTATCTGACAAGTCATTTTTGTCATTTGAGTAATCCATTCTCTGAAGACCATTTCCACAGTTACATGGTAGCAATAAGATATTTGATTTCTTATCAATCACCAGCTAGCTGAAAAAAAATCCACCACAAAGCAGCTATATTTTTTCAAAAGTTCCTTCCACCTTCAAGATACACCATCAGATGGGGGGTTACTTAGTCTTTAAACTGGAAAATCTCACACTAGAGCCTACTGACGATGTAGAATGCATGTTTACAACAGATAGGCCTATAGCGGTGCTTACATTTTTCATTTTAGCCAGAGTATCTTTTGATTGAGAGCATTAAAATATCTCTTAGTAAAAGGTCTTAAAAAAGCATTCAGTTTAATCCGCTGATACCTGCACCCAGATACTCTGTACTGGACCTTTATGTGCTGTAACTTATTTCTGTCCTAGATGTGTGTCTGTTTGCAACTTTGTACTCTTTACACTGGTGAGATGAAGTGTGTGTATATGTGTGTCTGTGCAGGTGGTGGGTTTCTCCAGCCTGGCTTTGAGAGACAACTCTTCAGAGCTTCTGCGCTCTGCTGAGGCGTACACACCTGCCTATAGCCGCATACTGCGCTATGGTCTTGCCTCTGCTATGTGGCTCTGCATCAGCTTCATACAGGTACACCATACATCTACTACAAACTACTCCAAGTCTGCTTCATAAAACTTTCATATTGCTGCTGTCGGAGGAAAACCTTGTATCTCCAAAATGATAACTTTACAGGAGAAGGAAAAAAAACTACTTTACTTTTAATGTAAGTCAATGGAACCACACTTTTTTCAAAGTGATTTTGGGTCGTTTCTTTTACTCTATTCATCATGAAATTTACATACAATGTAAAAGACAACATGCGTTTTCAAATTATGTCAAAAACTGAAAAACGTCAAAAATGGAGATGCAAGGTTTTCTTCTGACAACAACGATATGATGTGGAAACAAGCAAAGATTTACCAGTACCTCATTTACATGAAGTACGCCCAAATTCATGCAGACGTTTTGGTGGGGAGCCAATAAAATGACAGCATTCAGCAGTTTGTGAGGCAATGACTCCGCTCATAGGCGGAGTTTATTGACCAGACTTTATTATGACAATTAAAAAGAATAAAATGTTAAATACACAAAGATTTAAGTGTAGTGTGTTTATTTTCCTAAAATAACATATTTAAATGCTGTATTGTTGCAGTGTGTGAGATGCTCCTGCGCTAGCTGTGTTTTGTATTTTGTATTTCTTAGGCAGTGTCAGTAGTGTTAAAAAAAAAAGCACAGTGTAATTTGTCTGCACATGGAATAGTGGAAGCATTTGTTTATTACAACGTGCATGTAAGATAAGTACATCCCCTTGTTGATGACATGTACCTCCAGGTTTTGATGATATTCATAAAAGTTTTGGCTACTTATCTGTAAATCAGTGCTAACAGTATATCAATTCAGGCTGTTAAACTATTATGCTCAAATTTACACACACTCCTACTAGACATGACATGCCACAGGTGAAACTAATGAATAGCCATCTGTTTTTCAGCTGTCAGCTGAAATTTGCATGCACTCGTATTACGATTAGATTTAACCCTAACTTACATGAATAAGAGCCAATGAAACACTATAGAATTTCTCTACATCCCCCTACACACACATCCTGAGAGAGAATTATATAGATTCTGGATTTCTAGAAAAAGTCACATTTTAGACTACTTTATATCATGTTAAGTAATTATTAATATGTAATTTAAAAGATCTGAATGGTTTTGGTAATACCACAGAATGTCAAAGAATCAATAAGGAGATCTGGCGACAGTTGCAGAACTGTCGGATTTATGTGGACTGATGCAAATTCATGTGATCTAAATATAAATTCTTGTGATTAGAATATGTTCCAGACAGTAGCACCAGACTGGAAAATAACACAGTTGTCACTAAACTTCCTTAGTCAAGCACCTTTTGAAGGTCAGCTTGCCCTGGCTATTTCCTGTTTTTGTCAAGTAATATGAGAAGTACGAGGTCAGATTGGGGGTGTTAGGCATCTGCTGTCCATTAATGTCATGAAAGTTCTGTCAAATCATGACAAAACATGACCAGTTAATAGTCAGAGTTTGTTTTCTTTTGGTCTTTGAAGCCAAAAGTATTGTCAAAGTATTAAGATGTGATCTTGTAACGAGATAGCTATGTCTGGGGACAACATGTTAAACTTTTGCTGGATTGCCCCTCTAAAACCCGCCCCCAAATCCTCCAATCTGAGCTCTTTTTTTCCCCCCAATTTTCTCCCCAATGTAGTCATATCCAGTTCCACCCACTAGTTAGGACCCCCCCAATTACACAATACTACCAACGCTAGGAGGGCGAAAGCTAACACTGGTTTTCCCTGAGACCTGTGAAGCGCCACCGTATCTTTCGTCATTGTTTCCAGTTCTGTTTTTTCAGTTAACAGACGCCTGCGCTGACTAGCATTGTGCTGAGTGATGGGGGGAGAAGAGGGACCATCCTACCCACCCAAAGAGAGAGAATTGTTACCTGGCAAGCCTAAAATCAAAGATGCGACCCATCACTCAACGGCACTCAAACCTTTGTGCAATAAAAATTGTGTAATAGATATATGTATTACTAAGGCTGAAATCATTAATATCTGTCTAACAACTTATACTGTGTTTCTGTTCTGTAGCTGATATTCTCAGTGTTCCATGAGCGTTTTGTTGAAGACAAGATCCGCCAGTTTGTGGACCTGTGCTCCATCAGCAATGTGAGTCTATGGAGCAGCTGTGCTCACTGTGTGAGTGTGTGTGTGTGTGTGTGTGTGTGTGTGTTTTTTTCATACAATTTCTTGCATATAGTATGGCTCCTGTCCAGGTTACTTTTCCCCTGGCGTGCAGACTGCAGGTCACCTAGCAACGCAGTCTTGCCTAGAAAGTCTAATGAAAAGGCACAGATTTAAGAACAACATTTGTAGACGAATGGACTTATTTGCAATTATAAGCAACGCAGTTGGTTTCCTGGTACGTTAAATCTTCAACGAGAGACTATCAAACACTAAAAAGTTGCGAGGTCAGCTTCTCTTTTGAATTTTCCTGGTCCACCTTAAAGGGTGAAAAAAAAAGGAAAGCGGCTGTAGCTAAAGCTTAAAGCAGAGCAAAGTAAATCTGCGTTTTCGTTTATATTTTTTAGCCTATACTAGGACAATATCTAGCACATACTGAGACATATTGGACATTAAATGTTGTGACTCCCAAGGTGGTCTGATTTTTGTTGAAAGGACAAAATGGCTCTTCTTAACATTTGGGTTGTCGACTCCTGACCTAACCTAGCTTTTAATGCAGAGGGTGCCGGTCAGATTTCTCGCTCACCCAGTTGTGTTTTTGTTATGCGCACATCACAGACTGTCCGGGCGCTGCACCTCCGAACTTCCAAGTTCCGTCTTTTACGTTCCGTCAACATTACGTTATAAATTAAATATTTAGAAAATCGATTTTTGACATTTGTGAAACGATTCAGAAGCGCCCACGTCCGCTTCGCGATGCATCTAAGAATCGATTTTTCCCCCCACCCCTTCCCCGCTTATACTATAAGTATGTGGACACCTGACCATCACATCTGTATGAGCTTGTTGGACATCCCATTCCAAAACCATGGGCATTAACATGGAGTCCTATGACAGTGCGACGTTTATTAAAGCCACTGAGCTCTTCAGTACGACCCATTCTACTGCCAGTATTTGTCTGTGGAGATTGCATGGGTTTGTGCTTCCCTGTTAGAAAGGACTGTGGCTGAAACACCTGAACTCCACATACTTTTGGCTATATACTGTGTTATTATTACATATAGGCACTTACATATATGTAATATAAAGGGGACATGCATATATGCAGGTGGGGCATATTGACTTCTCTATGTAATATATGTGGATCATTCTACTGAACTGGTTCAGAGTTGAAAACACACTTTAACTAACATGGGATTTAAAATAAAATGTTTTGCTTTGAGTGACCCTATACATTAACTTTGTTTATTTTATTAAGGTTAGTTATTAAACATTCTGTTTTGTTACTACCTAAAAAATCATACCACTACTGAAACTTTACCAAATGTTTCAGTAGTGACAATTTTAGCCAGTACATGACCAGCAAACCGAGTTTTGAACAGTTGTACACACAATTATAGTATTTTTCATTAAACACAGAAAGATTTACTTAATGTCAAAATGTGGCAATGAGAGACATGGATGAAGTCTTACTTTCTGCTCTATGATGCAGTGGTGTGGCTAAAATAAGGCTCCACCTATGGACCTAAACTCTTTGTGTTTCAGCAGTTGAAAACGTGGGTCATCATTTCTTGAATTTTTTTTTATTTAAAAATTCAACTCATGATAAATCTAAATCTTTCAACTTCACTTTAAAAGAAATAAAAAAAAAGATCTTGTTAAAAAAAGTTTTCACATGTTAATTTAGGGGTTAGGGTAAGTTTTACTGTGAGACTGCAGACTCCCAACTAATTTGGGAGAATTTGCAGTTTAGTTCCTACAGTAAGCTGTCCTCTCTAGCTTTGTCAGCTTGTTTCAGTTACCATGTTTGTGTATGTGTATTTTAGATATCAGTGCTGCTGCTTTCTCACCGATGTTTTGGCTACTACATCCACGGGCGTTCCGTTCACGGCCATGCCGACACAAACATGGAGGAGATGAACTCTAACCTGAAAAGAGAGGCGGTGAGGTGCTGCTCATGACTCACAATGCTGCAGATTTTGTTTGTGTGCGGTGCCAACATGCTCTCCATGTGTGTTTGTGTGCATGTGTGTTTGGGTTTTTTCCACAGGAGAATCTGTGTGGGCAGAGAGGATTGTTGCCAAATTCTGATGTTCAGACATTTCAGATTTCTATAACTAGCCGCCTGAGGGTGCAGTACGATCACATCCTGGAGCCGCTCAGTAGAGTAAGCGCACTTTCAAACTACTTTTGTTTATTCACTTCTTCAGAATGTTCGTTAGATATATAAAGCACTGCTTTTGACAGTGATTGTTCACACTTGTCAAAACCAAACTTAAGAAAAGGTTTGATTGGTCCAGACAAGTTAGGTGTAAAAGTGGCTTAAGGTTCACTGTTGGTGGGAACACATTTTTACCATGGTTCACACCAAACGAGAGAATTCAGTATTAGAGAATGCTTTTCTCTTTTTCTAGCAGCACACCAGCACTGTACTGTCTGCATAATCTGCCTGTTGTAACATCTGAGTCCTTGACGCTCATCATTCTTGTAGCATGAGCTGCTGCTAATAAAGGTAGACGAGAAATAAAATAATAGCAAAGATATGCATTTGATTTTGGCAGGGGTGTGAAGAGTACTAAAAATTCCTACTCAAGTACAAGTACTGTTACTGCAGTGATAATTTACTCAAGTACAAGTAAAAGTATTAGTAAATAAATTACTCAAGTAAGAATAAATGAGTAGTTAATTAAAAAACTACTTAAGTACTGAGTTTTTCGCATTTCCGCTGTCACAACCTGAGCATATTTCTGAGCTGACTCAGCTACATCATTGGAAATAATCTGTACAGAAAAACACTAAAGCTAAATTCTGAGAGCTGAGACTGATCACAGTCTCACACCTTTCTGTGAACTGTGTAAGGAACAAAGTTTAAACTGCATGCATTTCATGGTTAGATGATTATATAAGACATTCTAGTTTATCTGTTTCCAATAAAGTATTTTAGAATCCCTGAAAGGCTGTGCAGAGGTTGTTACTGTTTAATTAAGTTCATTTAAGAGAAAAAAAATATGAGTAGATTTCCTAATTAATTATATAATTTTAGTGAGAGTCATGCTGCCCATCAGCTCCCTGGACTCTAGCTTACGTTAATAGGTGTGAACCTCTACAGACAGTAAACACATTCACAGCCTTCAAACTGTATATTTTCACTGATATCTGTTCTACCATTAAAATCAGCAGCAACATCTTTGCTTTGATTATTTACTGTAATATATTTCACTGGTAATCATGCTGATCACCTCATACAGAATCAGAGATTATTACTGCATTTCACAGTTAAACAGCTACACAGCCTCTCACAGTTAAGATTAACATCAAGGGGGGGGGGGCAGAGAGAGGAACAGAGAGAGAGAGAGGAACAGAGAGAGAGAGAGAGAGAGAGTGGGGAGGTGGGGAGGGATCAGATCAGGCCAGTCAACGACAGCGTGACACAATCACTGTCCAGAGTGAATCTGTATTAGACTTGATTACCTGTATAAACGGGTAAACTGTAGGCTGTGGGCGACACCTGTTAACTAAAGTAGCTGACAGACACTTGTAATAAAATATATGCAATAGATTTCTATATATATATATATATATATATATATATATATATATATTTCTATACAGGTTTTTTGAAAATACAGATACAGAATACAGATGACCGTTTGGATGCGGTCTATTCCTTGTGTGTGCTGGTTCATTTCTCCTCTGCCCTCCTCCACTAAACTGGACATCTCTGTAGTGTTTTTCCTGCCGGAGCTGCTGTTTTTTCATTGGTGAATCTTTTAAATTTATCCGTTCTTTAATCATTCTTACTGGTTTCTGAGCTGATACGCTCATAATTTATTTTTACTCTGTAATGTTATGAAAATTAAACTAGCGAAGTAAATGTATTTCATTGAAAATTAACTCAAGTAAGAGTAAAAGTACTATGATTTAATTTTACTCTCATAAAGTACCGTAACAGGGAAAACTGTACTCAGTTACAGTAACGAGAGTAAATGTAATTTGTTACTTACACCTCTGGATTTTGGCAAATGGATTGTGGAACCTTTTTGGCCAACCACTGATTGATTTAAATTCAGATGTGCAAACCAATCATAAAGAAGCTGATATCAAGTCAGGTTTATTATTATGTCTTTGACTGTACACATACATTGTGATGTGCAAGCATCTCTATTTTCTGTTTTTCTCCTTTTGTGTTGGCAAATGTGAGGGTAACAAAGCACATGCCTGCAGAATTTCGGTCCAGTAAACACTGACTTTAACAAAAAATATCACAAAAAAACAACACTGATGCAGACTTTAACAAACAGGTGTGAAAACAACCTTAGATCGCCTGGTTTTATTTTGTATGCCACAAACCCCACACCATGTTCAGTCTGTGTATTCAAAACATTCTCTTAAACACAAAAATGCAAGTTTGGCGATGCTGTACCCAACACTGCAGTCAGCATGCTATAATTAAAGGGTTGTGGTAATGATCCTAGCTCTAACCCCTACAATTCCCTTCTGTACTTGCCCTCTGTTTGAGCTCTTTTTTTCCCCCAATTTTCCCTCAATTTGACTTGAAGGAGAAAGTCTATAAAAACAGTAGTGCCATACTCCAAGATGCACCAGTTTTTCCTAAAACCCAATGACCTCATCAACTACATAACAGATAGTCTTATGCAAAGTTTGAATGCCCTCGGTCAAAAGTATGTTTTGTTGATTTTGCAAGTGAAAATGAGTTAAAACATCCACTAAAGGGAACAGTCTTACTTTTCTGCATGTTTTAGTACTTAATTTCTATTTATTTGCGGAGTTTGACACATTTTGTTTTGTTTTTTGTTTGTTTTGTTTTTTTACGTATTTTCATTTAGATGATCAACATGACATGTAATTTAACCAGGGTTGCCAAAACATTTTGTACATATTTACATGCTTTCAGCTAACATTACACAGCCATGTGTGTTGCTTGTACACGATGATTGAAATTGCTTTCTGAAATGATTATTAAAGCAATTAAAAGGAAGCGCCAGCTAACATTAACAAAAGTTAGCTGATCCTACCCTGATAGTAGAGCAGTAAACGCTAGCTAACATTAACTAAAATTAGCTTAGCCTACTCTGATAGTAGAGCAGTAAACGCAAGCTAACATTAACTAAAATTAGCTTAGGCTACTCTGATAGTAGAGCAAATCAGTAGCTGGCTAACTTTTACCCGTCAACCCATTCACTGTTCACTACATAGAGTTTGCTGTATAGTCAACTGAATGGAGAATGATGATGAAACAGCTGAAAGATTTAACGTTGAGAATTTGAACAGCACTACAACATGGCTGATATTATGCAGTGCTCCATACCAGTAATAGGGAACAATTTTGAATGCAACTTTCAAATTGGAATTACATTGGTGTAAATAAATAGATTACTGACACCTCCGTCTTGTCCACACAGAGAAACGGGCCTTCGCGATTGGTCGATGCCTCAGCCAATCCGTTTGAGCAGAGCACAAAAGCATATCACACCATGAACCGCTTCCTTGGCTCTGTTATCGATCATGTGAGTTCAGTTTATGATGATTTTTTGAACTGCATAAATGTAAACGGTACATATGCCACTGCATTTGGGGTGGTTCTTCTGTTATTTCTATTTTGTTAGGCTCATCGTGAGATGGATTATATTGTGAAAGACAAGTTGCTGTTTGAGAGACTCATTGGAATGGAGTTTATTGAACCCATGGACAAAAGCATCTTTTATAATGGTAAACTCAATGATATACATTGTATATAATGACTTATATATCTATATATATAAGTAATTTGCTTTTATTCCAAACTCTAAACTTTTGAATGCTAGCGCTTTTGTAATTTGTGTTTGGAATGCTTTAATCATTAGAAAATGCTTGGTTTTGTACTTTGTTGCTTGTTGAAGTCAGTCACTGTGGACATGTCATATGTTTATCTCCATCAGATGACTCTTACTCTTTTGCTGATGTGCTGTTTTATGGGAACGAGTCGACACTTTTAATCTTTGACACTCTGTTCTTCTGTGTGGTGGACCTGGGCAGCCAGAACTTTGTACTGGCAGCTGTACTCACGTATCTACAGCAGCTGGTCAGTATCTGTGTGTGTGTGTATGTGTGTGTGTGCACAGGTGCTCGTGTGCCTTCAGATTTTGTCTATGAATGACTCACAGTAGAATGTTCACATCAACTAATACAACCCTATTTCCAAGAAAGTTGAGGCGCTGTGCAAAATGTAAACAAAAATAGAATGCAATGATGTGCTAATATAAACCCTATATTAAATTTAAAATAATACAAAGACAACATATCAAATGTTGAAACTGAGAAATGTTATTGTTTATTGAAAAAATTATGCCCATTTTAAATTTGATGCCAACAACACATTCCAAAAAAGTTGTGACAGAGGCAACAAAAGACTGGTAAAGTTGTGTAATACTAAAAATACATGTATTGTAAAATCTCACAACTAATTAGGTTCATTGGCAACATATCAGTAACAAGATTGGGTATAAAAAGAGCATCCCAGAGAGGCTGAGTCTTTCAGAAGTAAAGATGGGGAGAGGTTCACCACTCTGTGGGAGATTGTGCAGGCAACAATTCAAGAATAACATTTCTCAACATAAAATAGCAAAGAACTTGGAGATTTCATGATCTAATGTACACAATATCATTAAAAGATTCAGAGAATCTGGAGAAATCTCTATATGCAAGGGACAAGGTTGACAGCAAATACTGGCAGGCTATGATCTTTAGGCCCTCAGGCGGCACTGCATTAAAAACACACAAAATTCTGTAGTGAACATCACTACACGGGATCAGGAACACTTCTGAAATCATTTTCTGTGAACATAGTTCATCACTGCATCCACAAATACAAGTTAAAACTACCATGCAAAGAAGAAACCATATATAAACAGGTTTCAGAAACGCTGCCGCCTTCTCTGGGCCTGCGCTCTTTTAAGAAGGACTGAGACGAAGTGGAAAAGTGTCTTGTGGTCCTACAAATCTAAAATTCTTTTTGGACATTATGGGCGATGCGTCCCCAGGACTAAAGAGGAGAAAGACCATCCAGCTTGTTATCAGCGCACAGTTCAAAAGCCAGCATCTGTGATGGTGTGGTTGTGCATTAGTGCACAAGGCTTTAACGACCTGCACATCTGTGAAGGCAGTATTAATGCTGAATGATATGATATATACAGTCAGAGCAGTCGGGTCTGGAGGTTAGGGAACCAGCCTTGTGATCGGAAGTGCCCTTGAGCAAGGCATCTAACCCCCGACTGCTCCCCAGGCACTGCAGATAGGGCTGCCCACCGCTCCGGGCAAGTGTGCTCACTGCCCCCTAGTGTGTGTGTGTATGTGTGCTCAATAGTGTGTATGTGGTGTTTCACTGCACGGATGGGTCAAATGCGGAGGTGAAATTTCCCCGTTGTGGGACTAATAAGGGTCACTTAACTAACTTAACTATACAGGTTATGGATGTGGTAAAAATGACTGTCACAATTTTTTTAAATGTGTTGCTGGCATCAAATTCAAAATGTGCATATATTTTTCAAAAATGAATACAATTTCTCAATGTCAATATTTGATATGTTGTCTTAGTACTATTTTCAATTAAATATTTAAATTAAATAAATAGGGTTTAAATGATTTGCACATTATTGCATTCTGTGTTTATTTACATTTTATACAGCATCCCAATTTTTGGAAACGGGGTTGTGTACAAATCACTGAGAAAGGGAAACTATTTTTTGTACAGTTTTCTTAAATGTCAATAATCATGATAAGTCAGGTGAAAAATCTGATTTACACCGTTTTCCCTTTTATCCCAAATGTATGTAAATATATGAGTGTGTGGTGGAAATTTTCAGACTCTGTCATACAGCTTTACGTATTAAGCCTTGCACACATATGCTCAAAGTTTAAGTTGGGCTTCATGTTAAAGTTTTAAATGCAAAACCAACATTATACTGATGAAGGTATGATAAAATTCACTTACATCCTCAGAAGACATGTCCTTCACAAGGTTTTGACCGAGTTCTCTTTGAGTACTCTTTTGACGCGCTTGCAATAATCAGATTCATCCGCTCAGGGAAGGAGTCTGAATCAAACCAACGTTACAAAATGTTCTTCCAGTTGCGTGCAATTGCACATTTCCACCACAGAGGTCTCGAAATCCCCAAATCTTATGTAGTGTAGCTTTTAGTATTGCTTCAAGGTGTTTGTTACTTTATCAATAACAGCATCTTATACAATATCAGAAACCACATAAACACATCTATATGAGAAAACTTAACAATTCAACATGATTTATATGATTGATAGCTCCAGTGTAAAACTAAAGTAGCAAACTTTAGACACGAAACCTGTCTTGCCTGATCAAATACATATGAGCGTCCATGGAGAATTGTATGCATTTGATTTTTTGGCAAACTGTTGTCTTTCTCAGCCTGACCTTGTTTTGATGTGATTGCTTTGTTTGTGCATTCTCTCAGATCTTCAGGCTGATTCGAAATGGTTTGGGACGCAGGAACCTGGCCATAAAAACTCTGGTTGACAAAAGATTCCTCATCTAGTTTCTGGATTTAAATTTTTCTGCTCCATATTGTCTTAATGCAGTTTTCACTGTGATGTCTATATTGCTAATTTTGATTGTCAAAGCTAGTTTTTTGAAGCCTGTTTTTACATGATTTGGTACTATTTGCTTTGTTTTTCTTTCTGTAAATACTGTAGTTCAGTATTTTTGCGCAGAACATGAGATTAAGTATTTTTGTACATTTCAATTTCTACATTGACTGATTTGTATAAATGTTATACTGTTTAGAGGTGTGAAAACATTTTTGATCTATGAATTTTGAGACTTGGCCTAGATAATTTTGATCTTACTCTTTTTTCAGTTTTTGAATGTGTATATTGTGTATATGGAAAAACAATGCCAAATACAAAGTTTGTGTTTAAACTAGGGTCAACATCCTGCACTGAAGTATCCTTTTGGGAATTCCCTCATTTTTACCCTGATTTCTTGACTCTGACTCGACTACTGCAAAGGCTTGGTCTTGACTCATACTTCCCTAACAATCTTGACCACAACACTACTAATCGATGTCTGCCCTACACAATGTGTAAAAAAAGACTGGAGAGAAATAAAATAAACTAAAATGCATGAAAAATGCATTTGTAGCACAAATTAGATGCTATGCAAACAAATGAAAAAGTGAAAAGTTACAACACTCAGAATATTAAGCTTTTAAGGGTAACAGTGAAGCAGTTACTCTGACAATCAATATAAAGGGTAAACATAAAGTAAAAAATTACTTTATTTACAAAGAGTTTAACAAAAAGATCAACAAAACCATCCTATATCTCTAAAATAATGACTTCACAGGAGAAGGAAAAAGACATGCTCAACTTTTAATGATAGTTAATGTAACAAGGTTCTATTACAAGTAACTAAGTACTAACCATACCTACTATCAACGTCCTCACATTATTTTTTTACTTTTTGACTCAGATCACATGCCTGTCCTTCCAGAGTGAGGCTTGTGACACTGCCACATGAAAGGTCTTTTATAGGAAATATATATGTAGCACATTACTTCAAAGAAAGTGTTTAAAACTTAAATGTCTTGCAAGGATAAACTTCCTGTGTGCTAACATTTAAAATTGGTGAGTTTTGCTATTCGAGGTCAGGTAAAAAGGGGACCAGAATAAAATTGTTTGCTGAACCATCATAGCACTGTTCCTTTAAGAACCTTCCTGGAAATGCTAGGGGTGGAGCTCCTGGGAGAAAAAAAAACAGGAGGAGCATTTCCTGGTTAAAAAGAGAGAGAGGAGGAAGGAGAGAGACAAGATGGCGGTGTAAGAAAGAGGAAAGTTTGGTGTGTTTTGTGAGTACTGAAGGGATTAACAAACAAAAGCCACCAACATTTCCTCTTATTCCTCTACTTATGGCCTGGCAGACCGGTGGACCAAGCATGTTCAAAAAAGGATTAAAAAGGACTCTAAGAAAAGTGGATTAATCCTCAGGGATCTGAAAGAAGCTTGGGGATAGGCCTGCCATTGCCGGTGAGATCCAGCTGGTTTACGTTTTTTGTTCGTTTTTTGCAATGAATTGCTAAGGACTTGAAATTTTGATTAAGCATTTTTTGATTTTTTGCATTTTGGACTTGTTGGACTGTGGAGAAACTGGGAGAGGGGCATGGAATGTTGTTAAAATTTGATGGTGTGAGGGTTCTGTTTGTGCATTATAAATTGTGTATGTTTTGGCAGATACCTTTAAATATATAAAGCATTTCTGGGTGCCAGGTTAAACAGGGTCTATTTTGGGTTTTTTGTGGGCTTGACTTTGTTGGTTTTTACTACATTAGCTCTTAATCATAAGCTGTGTATCCTCGGACTATAAATGTAACCCCTAAACTTATAATAAGTCAAGGTGATTGTTACAGAGTGGTGGCCCGTACGGGGACTATACAGCGCAGGAGACATAGGGCTACATAGTATCTTTAATTTGGGTAACAACAAGCTATGGCTGACAGTATGGATCCCCAGACAGAGGAAGGCCAGGCTGACACACCAAACTTCAACTCTAGGCCCTTTGTGACATTCAGGGAACCTGTGGCTGAAATCTCTTCTCTTTTGAGCGAGATGTATTTAAAGGAACAGGAAGACTCTGATACTGATGAAGATGTAAACACCACAGGTGCAGGTATCATGGATAGTAGTGGGGTACAAAATATCAAGGACGCTATTAAGGGCTTACAAGATCGGGTAGACTCCTTAGAGGGAGACTTTAGAGCTTCTTTGGAGAGTGCTGTGAATCGAGAGCAAAGTCTTAGAGACTATGTGGATCAGAGGTTTGCAGATGTCGAGCTGTTCCTAAAAACATCCCTGAAACAGTTGGAGCAGGGTGTGGTTGAATGTATGTTGCGTAGGGATGCCCAATGGAAAAGAGAGCTTAGCAAATTAAAACGCACCAGCACCCCTACCAGTCAAACCTCCTTTTTTTATCCTCCCTCAAATGTTAGTGACATCATGGCTCAAACGGCAGGAAATGTGTCTGGCACCCCTTCTCTCTATGCTAAGCCTCCTGTTCGCTTAGAATTTCCAACATTTGGTGAATCTCGGGACACTACTGATGTACTCAATTTCATTGAGCACTGTGAGAACTTTTTATCACTGAGGCCAATGACTGATGGTGAACTAACAGCCACTTTGTCAACCGTGTTGAGAGGCCCTGCTAGGAGTTGGTGGATGGCCGAAAAGTCAAGGGTTCATAATTGGACTGAATTTAAGAATGCCTTTTTGACAGCGTTTTTACCCACAGACTACCTGACTGAGGTGGAAGAACAATTGCGCATAAGAGTCCAGGCCCCTGACCAATGTCTAAGAGACTTTGTTTATGACTATAGGGCATTGTGTCTGAAATGGAAACCAGAAATGCAGGAAAGTGAACTGGTCAGACGTATAATGAACAACTGCAATTCGGCTCTAGTTAGCAGTTTAAGGGGGACAGTTCACTCTGTGGAACAACTGGTTAAAGTTGGGTCCATGGTGGAGCGGGACTGGGCAGCCAAGAAAGATTACTGGGCCAGAGTGAACAGCCAAGCCTCCCAGGAAAAAGCCAAAAAGAAACCAGCCAGCAAAAGCTCCAGTGGCTACGGTCCCGAAAACAGGGGGAATCAACATGTGGTTTTAACCAAAGCCGAGATTCCAGCCCTGTTGGTGGTTCCAATTGAAACACGGGGACTTCAAGGGGAAGCGGTACTGGATACAGGCTGCACCTTTACTTTGATGCAAAAGAGTCTGTGGCAGAAGATAGTCAAAGTTGGGGAAAAACTGAGTACTGGAGATCCTTTGAACTTTGTTTTAGCCGATGGCAAAGCGCACAGGGCGGAAGGAAAAGCGCAATTGGCTTACACCTGGCATGGAGGTGTTTGGAGTTTGGACACCTACATCATGGCAGATGATAACCTAGCCTTTCCACTTATTTTGGGGCTAGATTTTTTAAGGAAAACACGAGTTCAAATCAACCTAGGGGAACATGTCTATGGGGTGCAAATTCATGGAAGATGGACCTTTTTTCCATTTTTGAATCGCACCCCAGGCAACCTGACCTGGTCACCAGCAGAAGAACCTAGGAGGAATGTGAATTTGTATGTAGCTATGACTTCTCCTTTGCTTTCCTGGTATTCAGAAGCAGCTGGTACAGCTGAGGCCCATGAGGCTCTCTTGCAAACCCATCCTCCAGAGATGCAGGAACTGTTCCGGGCGTGGCCTTCGGTGTGTTCGCCAAAGATAGGAAGGACCACCATAATACAGCATTACATACACACATGTGATCAAATCCCAGTTCGTTCAAAGGCATATCGGGTGTCACCACTGAAGAAGAACATTATTGAGGATCAGGTAAAGCAGATGCTTGAAGACGAAGTCATAGAGCCATCTCAGTCTGCCTGGGCCTCTCCGGTGGTGCTGGTGAAAAAACCTGATGGATCCTATCGCTTTTGTATTGATTACAGAAGGTTGAACACTAAGACTCCTCAGGATGCTTACCCAATGCCAATAATTCATGACATCCTGGAGTCACTACATGGGGCAGTGTGTTTCAGTACTCTGGATCTCCAGTCTGGTTACTGGCAGGTGGCTATGGATCCAGAGAGTAAGGCCAAGACCGCGGTAATCACACCCATGGGACTTTACCAATTTAAGGCCATGCCTTTTGGGTTAAAAAATGCAGCAGCGACATTCCAACGTCTGATGGAAAGGGTTTTGGGGGAATTACGAGGACGCATCTGTTTTGTCTACATTGACGACATCATTGTCTACTCCTCCAGTCATGAGCAGCACTCAAAAGATCTCCATGCAGTGTTCTCCAGACTGCATGCTGCGAACCTAACCTTGAACCTGAGAAAATGCTGCTTCTTCAAGAAACAGATCAGGTTTCTGGGACACATTGTCTCAGAAAAAGGGGTGGAACTTGACCCAGAAAAGACCATAGCAGTGTTTAAATATCCCATCCCAAAAGATATCAAGTCTCTACAAAGGTTCCTGGGCCTGGTGGGGTGGTATCACAAATTAAATACCTCGCTTTGCCGACCTCGCTGCTCCCTTAAACAACCTAAAGCGGAAAGCGGTCAAGTGGGAGTGGACAGATGAATGCCAGAAGAGTTTTGACCATCTGAAGCAGGCCTTGAAATCTCCGCCTGTCTTGGCTCAGCCAGACCTAACTTTGCCATTTCAGGTCCATACTGACGCCAGTGATGTAGGGTTAGGAGCGGTTCTAACCCAGCAAACTTCCGAGGGTGAGAAGGTAATAGCATATGCCTCCAGAGTACTGCGAGGGGCAGAGCACAATTACTCCACATCAGAAAAAGAGTGCCTGGCAGTCGTCTGGGCCGTGGAGAAATGGTACCATTACCTGGAAGGGGCCAAGTTTGAAGTCTATACTGACCATAGTGCTTTATCTTGGGCATTCAATTGTCCCAAGACTAGCTCCCGGCTGACCCGCTGGACCCTAAGGTTGCAGCAGTTTAACTTTGAAGTTTATTACCGAAAAGGTTGCATGAACATTGTACCAGATGCACTGTCTCGGGCAGTGGAGAACGAGCAATCCCAAGTGATGGCCTCATATGTACCCGTTCACCCAAACATATGCACCTCGGATCTGCCCTCCTCGCTGGCTGAAATTGCACAGGCACAAGCTCAAGACCAGGAAGTCAGAGAGATCCGAGCAAAGGAAACGACCAGGGGAAAACAGATGGGGCGTATTAGATGGGAGGTACTCCAGGATGTCCTCTATAGGACTGTGCCAATTAAAGGGGTGGGGCTGAAATATCAATTGGTAGTGCCCAGGGAGCTGACCAATGTTTTCCTCCACTACTTCCACAACAA